TACAGATTATCCATGGCCACCGGCGCGCAGCAATGCCGGTATTTTGTTTAGAGAGCGAACAGCCATATCATGCAATTACCACTTTCTGAAAATTGATTGTCACAATTTTAACAGAGCAAACGAGTTTGATGATTAAGATAATATCGCAGAATATTTGGTAACGTGAGTTGAACTGGTCCTGATGATCAGTATGGGGTAGATACTGTAACTTTTTGATGAAGTCAGTTGGTTTTCCAGTTTCCGACATTGCTTCATCCTTTATGCTTGATTTTACTTTACGATGTTGTTCAGTCAGAAGCATTGATATGATAGTAAGCTTCGAATCTGTCCGACTTGAACTCATCGTTTCATTGGAACAAAGGTGTCTTTGGCCTGTATAATTTACCCGCTTCGGCTTGGAAATCCGTTTTAATGTCTGCGATCACGGCTGCTGTCGACGACTATGTCAGTCGTCTAAAGTGCAGAAGCGACGAGCAGCGGGTTCAAGCCGCACAGGAGCTTTCTCGGTAGTACAGTGGATTTCTTTATCACATTTTCTGAATGTTTGTCTGTGCATGGTATTGAATTTTTAGGTTGATTCACCCTTCATAGCGATGTTGGAGCGTTACGTAACTTAAAGCATCGTTTTACTGCCAAATTTAAACTATTCAATGAGTTTTTAAGGGTTTTTGTACCTTGTGGGATGGATAGACCGTTTCTTTGTTGCGTGGTATTAACATTTGTGGTGACCCTTTGATATTACTCTTAGTTTCAGACTATGCGATAGTAATTTTGGTAGTTGCAGAACATGTTTTGATCAGAACTTACTTTTTTTACACTTTATGGCTGTGTGAAACAATACTCATTGTACTTTCACGCCCACTGCTATCTTCTTAAATTTACGGTTTACACCAAATGCCGATTTTCAGTCTGCTATAAGACGCGCGCATCACGCAACATGGCCGATTGTCTCGCACGCTCTGGCACGACCATACCAAAGTACCTTACTTTGACTGGCTACCCGATAATAATTTTTGACTGGTTGCACGGAAGTACAGCAGGCAGTTTCATTGTTCATAGGAATCGCATGTCATGAGCTGTTCGTACGTCCGAATATATCAAATAACAAATGACTCTTCCATGACCAGATTTCTCGATGTACTGACTGTTTCTGTCTCAGTTGCAAAATGATGCGAGATGCATCTGGCACTGCAGCTGCTCAAATACTATGCAACCGTGGCCTCTTTAAATACCCCCGAGCTGACTAGGAACAAGGGGACGATGCAGTGCGCCGTGAAATTTAGTCTTGGAGGAGTCATTTCGTTATTTATTAGCAGGAATTAGCAGTTAATGAGAAAAATTTGGGGCCCGTTTGGATTCCAGCACCCCACCTTCCAATGTAGTGCCAACTGACAACTGCGTCGCTGCTCCCCAGCGGCTGCGCTTATTTGCGAGAGCGCCTTCCTGAAGCAGGAAGGATAACTGTCAGTCAGCTACGTGGTTTAAGTGCCCGAAAGTGTTTCTAATGGATATACATTTTGCGAATGTCATAGTGTTGCTGAACTACGCCGTAACCGACTTACTTATGTCGAGAGTGCGTGCAGTCCAGCTCTGAAAATGAGGTTAAAAGTCAGCGCTGAGACGACAGACGTTAAAGCACCTTTCATGCACCACTGACACCAAAGAATACCATGGAACGGTATGGCGTCTGTGGCATTAATGCTGAGTCTGCGTATTGGACTTCCATCAACAAATTTCGTACAGCTGTATCAAATTTTTAATTATCCTATGTAGTCCGAG